TCTGGTGGCCAATACTGGCAACACAAATAGTTTATAAAGCAGATTAGCACAAAACATACTTTAAACAAAAGCACTAATAAAAATATTGCAGAAAGTCCTTTTCTTGATTTTTAATAGCAGCAATGCACATTTCAGTAATAATAGTACCCAATATTCAACCATACTATTAATTTTCATAAACTCTGATCTCTCTCACTGGCTAGTTTCTATGAAATAAACATCACCCACTCTCAGGGGAAAAAAAAAAAAAATCAGTACCTTCTACTACTGAAGGAGGAAACATTATTGTTCTAACAAAAATAAGTCAAATCATTTCAGAAAAATATTTAGTCTATCTCTGAATCAAACTTTTGACAGTTGTATTAACCGTTCATTTAAAAAAAAATCCAGATAAGCAATCTTTTTACTATTTATATTGAGTTTCATCTCAATTTTAAATAATCTAGCAAACATAACTATAAAATATACTTGTATTTTGCAAATGATTGTCTTAATTTATAGCATATAGTACAAACTGGTGACAGAGTATATCCTTTATTAATCTCAAGAGTAGAGGGAATCTCTCAGTGTCTGATGAATACAATTAACTCACAGTTAACAAGGCTAAATTAGCCAGTGAACAAAAAAGATGAATCCATTTTTACATACCTAATTAATATACTCCACTACTGTAACTTAATGTTATTTGAAGGAATGCCTTAAGAGATTTTTTTTCCCAAAGAGATTTTTTTCCCTAATACAGTCATGAAAAAAATGACCAAAACATTCCAAAGAAAATGCTAAACTATAAAAGCACCTGGGATAACCTCAATAAACATTTACAGTCCTAAAGGCACCCCAAGGCCTTCTTCTCACAAAGAAGGAAGAGTCCCAACCTAACTTCCTCTCAGTGAGCACTTCAAGCAGTAACACAGCGACATTAGTTTTGCAGCACGCAAGGCTTAGGTACATTATTTTCTCTTTAAAATTATGAACTCATCACACGTACAAATGGCTCTTTAAAACGGTCCAGTAAACTGCTACACTATGCCTTAAATTGCTGTCTATTATGTACTTAAAAATATTTACTAGCAATTGGAAGTTAATATGGCAACTATTACCGGGGGGCAATTATTGCTATTAAAAATATATAAATACTGTAACACCATGTGCTACCAACAAAATGCTAAACAGAAAACATACATTAGCAAATTATAAATATTTTCATTAAAGAAAATAAACCATCCTGAAAATAAGATGCTTTAGGTTTAAATACTAAAATTGGCAATTGGGATGAAAAAATACCCTATGTATGTTGGCACTTGAGAAGATGAGAGAAATCATTCCTTTTTGCTCATTTTCAACTTACAGCCCTCCACATTTGGTTCCAGCTCAAAAGAATAGATCCCAAAGTTTCTATATTTACCATTATCTTCCCTCTCTGCAAAAATATAAATCTCCTAAGAAAAAAGAGAGCAGGTCAACAACAGATTACCTTAAAGCTTCACACACAGAATTAATGGTCCGTCATAGGAGGTATGTACTAATATGTGCATGTGTGTTTCAATTCAGGGAGGGAGAATTTTATATCATCACCCAATTACTCCACAGTCAGGAAGAGTGTGAGCAAATAAAACAATGTGAAGGTGGAATCCACATACTTAAGAATTAGGCCGCCCCATTTCAAAGAGTATATACTTAAAACTAGTTAAAGAACACAAAATCACTTTCCTCCATATGATCTCAACAGAGAAACAAAACTAAAGCAAAACTAAAGATATATTTCTATCTGGAAATTATGTCTTCCCTCAAGGGTGAGTTTGATAAACCATAGGGTGCCCTGTTACACTTTCCAAAAAGACAAGATTTAACACACTTAACTGAATTATAACTGAGTGACTATCTAACGAGAGTCTCCCAGAAAAGTGATGGACAGCATGAGAAAACAGTTTTATGTCACAAGGGTAACAGCAAGGCACGCATTTAATGCAGGAGCTAGGGATCCTCACAACAGGCAGAATAAGAAACACATACAATCATCCGTATCATACACACCCAAGACACTTTTTCCGTTAGGAAATGGGGGTAGGGGGTGACAGAGAATTTGGGAAATTTGATACCATGCAGTAGAAAATCAGAAAGCAAAACAAGAACAAAAATCTTAAAGCAGTTGATTGCACAATCTACTTTTGCTAAGCCACAATGAACACCTGAAGGTAATAGAAAGTGGGCGGATCATTACTGTGGTACAGAACTTTAATCTCTAGTTTATATTTCAATCCACATTAATATGAATATCTAGGTAAATTCTCTATAAACAGTACTTTTCTCTGCTCAAAAAAACTGCAGGCCAAAAAGAAAAATACATGCTATTATTAAGCACATAAGAGTTCTTGTAACACATGCTTTATTTTAAACAAGAGATGATTTTCTCTCTTTTGGAATTAACTATTCCATACAACGTACTTTAGACAACATATTTTTAATATTCTAAGTTCCTGCTGTATCAGATTTTCAAGGAAAACTGCATTTGAATGAGCAAAACTTTATATTATCAGCAGCTTTTTAACTGATTCTCAATTTAAAAAAAAAAAGCACCTTTTCCACCCTCCACATACAGGAGAATGTAGACATTCTACAGTCCTTTAAAAAAAAAAAAAAAAGTCAACCCAGGAATTTCTTGAGTTCTGCGTTTCAAAGTTGCCATATAATGAGTAATCCTACACACACACACACACACACACACACACACTTAATTCCTGGTTTGAAAAGGTTGAGAGAAATACCCAAAGTAGAAACCTCTAGTTGGTCATATAACACAAAATCCTCTCCTATAAAATTGCTTGTTTCTCCAAAAGAATCTCAAGCATCTTATCTCTTTAACATGATCATCCTTACCTGAGCTTTAAAAAAAAAAAGATTTAAAAAATTGTATATCTTAAAGCCTGTCTACACACATAAATATAGTTTCATTGGTCTACAAAATCTACTGTATATAGATTAGCCACATATACACAAGCCATTACCAGTCAGAATGATATATAGTAATTCGGGGCTCTCTCCTCACTAATATCGGTCTACTTGGTTATTATTTTAATTACCTGTTAAAGTGTCAATGTGGTCACCAGCCACCAAACAAAAACCATTTTAAATACCCCTTAATCAATATGTTTGCTAATCTATTAAAGTCTCTGAATCTGACTGATAGTAAATGATATTGTAGGGGAGAGAAAAGAGGAGGCAAAATGAATTCTATTCCCGTATGTCAAAAGACCAAGGGAAAATTATCACAGTACGAAAAGGAAGAACTGAAACTTGTAACTGAATTTTAAGATTAAATAAAGATTATTTGAAGATTATAATTTTAAGATTAAATAAAAATGTTGGAAGAAAAAAATTAACCTGATCTATACACTATAGTGAAAGCACAGATATTATGTCACTCTGTCTTTGTGGGTAAAAAAATCACGTGTTTTGATGCTTTTATCTGCATAAGGAAATATTTAATAAAATAGCACTTCCATTTGAAAAGTTGGCAAGAATGTGTATTTCTCCACCAGTCTCAAGAAAGAAAAAGGCATCTATGCTGACCCCGACCCATAATTAAATGTAACTAATTACAATTTGAACACTAAATTATTTATCCAGTGTAATTGTAAACAAGGATTAAAAGGAAATAATGCTTCTATCTACTACAGAGATTACAGAAAACTATTTCCCCAAAATGCATGTTCTCCAAAGACAACCCCCCCCCAAAAAAGGGTACATAACTTAAAATAAGTTAGGTTTTTTTTCTAAAGGCTAAATTAAACAAACCGTTCAGCCAATTTTCCAATTATATTCTACGCTTGGAACATAATTGCCTTACATCTGTTTACAAATCTTTGCTCAATATTTAAACAAATTCGTAGTCTCCCGGGCACATAGCTATACATACAGTAACTCATGCACAAAGCACATATTTAAAGACCACGCACTGCAATTATTAGCCTAAACGCCAGGTTTAACAAGGTGAATGTTTTCAGAGCTAGGTAATACGACCCAATAAAAAGCAAAGATGGCATTTACCACCAAATGTCACAGCACCGCCAGGAAAGAGTTGCCGGAGCCCTATACATTTTTAATTTCGATGAATCTAGACGTCGTCGTCGGGTGCCAGGCTTCCCGGAGAACAATTGACACCCGAACTGCTTCAAGATTAAGGCAGGCGATTCAAATCCGAAGGAAAAGTTGTCAATTATCAGAGAGAGAGCGCGAGAAAGGCGAAGGCAGATAAAAGCGATGTTATCAAACCGCCCAGCTTGTTGCTTTTGTGTGTGTGTGTGGATTCGTTGTTAGGACAGAGAAAACAGTTTTTAAAAGACACAGGAGGAGAGAAAGAAGAAAAAGCCTTCTCCACCTTCCGTCGGCTCCGTGCAATGGCTTTACGGCTCTCCAGCGTAGTAAGCCCTGAGAGGCAGGCGGTTGTCGATGTTTACAATCGCGGGAGCTTCGGATGCAAGAGTCCTTTACTGACACAATCGCATTCAATCAACTGTTTTCGGGCGAAATTGTAGGTGTCATTATGGAATTTAAAAAAAAAAAAATTCAAAAGGCGGGCGGGCAGCCTATCCGACAACGGGGGAAAAGGCTGCTTATCGCGGGCGCGGGCAGCACAAGGCAAAGCCTTCCACATTTAGGGAAAAAAAGGGGGGGGAAGGGGAGGGGAAGGGGGGTGTGATTGCAACAGAGGGTGGGCGTTCGAAGTGCGACCCAGAATCCGCAGCTTTGAGACTTCCACATGCAAATTCCACGCCGAGCGCCGCGCTCACAAATGATTTTTAAAGAGCCAAATAAACACTGGATGGGATCCAAGGCGAGGGAGAGACGATCCAAAAGGGGGAGAATCGGCGAGAGGCGAACGGCGGGGAGAGGCGAGGGAGGGGCGAAGTCCCGGCGGCGGGAGGAGAAAGTTGGTCGGCGGCGGAGGTCGGGGACCCCCCCCCCGGCTCAGCCCCCCTCCCCACAGCCCGGCTACTCACCAGCGAGAAGAGGTTGGAGTGACAATCCTCCAGGCTCGCCCCGTTCGCCACCCAGTTCGCTGCCGCAGTCATGATCCTCCGCGAGCCCGGCCGCCAGAGCGGGGCATGTCGGAACGAGGCGTCCGAGGCGAGGCCGGGCCGGGCGGCGGCGCCTCGCCGGAGAGCGCGGGGCGGCCGGGTCGCCGCCGCCGCCGGGGGAGGGCGCG